CACACACACACACACACACACACACACACACACACACACACACACACTTTACCTCCAAGTCCTGATGTAACTGGAGGAGATACTGGTACTCTCTGGAGCGCAGCGTCAGAAAATCAATGAGCAGGAGCATGCAAAGTGGGTCAGCGTCTGGGTCCAAACTGAGCGGCAGACAAGACCAGAAGTGAATGATTATGAATAAACAGGGCACAGACACTTCACCAAAATACACACGAACATCTGAATCCAAGAACAATTTAAAGTCTCCTCCCATACTCCAGGGTGAAACAACCTGTGCGACTCACTGTTGGTTAAAGCTGACATTTAGATTAATCTAAAATGTTGCCATTTTAGTGTGAAATAAATCATTACACATCATCAAAAATCCCACTGCTCTGCTATTTGCTTTCAGAGTAAATTTTAAAGCTTAGGCAGCAGACCAACTGAAGTGGTCCATGGAGTGGCTCTGCTGTGCACAAATTGCTACCGACAGTGAGAGTGAAATAATCTAATGTTTCTGGTTTCCTTCAAAATCCACCACAATGCATTTGATACTATCGGAGCATGCATGGTGATATTTAATATGGTTTTTGTTTGAAAAATACATTAAAAAAGGGAATAAAATGATAAGCACTGGTTCCCCTAAAACACAACATTGACAGTTTTAATCAAATCATATATGCGAGACCCTTCTTCAAACAGATTCTTCCTGCCATTTTCGGCTGACAGTGATTTATTCACTACTAGTTAAACAGGGGAAGCTGTCAGCTTTAATTCCTTCACTGCTGCTTTACAAAAGGACCAGAATATAGCTGTAAGGAAGAGTCTGATGAAAAGATAGATAAGCATTGGCCATCATGTTGTGTAGCTCAAGCTATGGCAGACTGATGGCAGCGGTGCCTGGGAACAACCCTCTTTAGTCTTTGTAAAGCATTATGGAAGTGTACTTTGTACCAGCAGAATAAGGGAGGTTGTTCTGTGTTATGTCATGATATTTTCAAGTTTGTTTCAAGCGGTGAAGAGGGAGCTGAGCCGGAAGGCAAAGCTCTCAATTTACTGGTCGGTCTACGTTCCTACCCTCACCTACGGTCACAAACTCTGGGTCGTGACCGAAAGGACAAGGTCATCATCAATAAAACAGCACATCAAATAATTTGGAAGGTCTCGTCTGAAACACATTCGATTGTTTTCCGCATTTTCCATAATTTTGAGGGGGACATCTTTCATCGGTATCAGTAGTCACACATAACGATGTCATACAAGTAATACAATGTTGCTTTTGGACTTCTTCCTGAGCCTGAACAGGATGATCGCGGTCAGAATACAAATCTAATAGTTGAGTTAAAAGTCTTTGAAGACATTCTTCCAAGTCTGATGACTGCTGTTGGTGGTTCATTTATTTAGGGAAATAAAAGTACTTTTTGTTTAACTAACATGCGATGCTAATCAATGTGATGTCAAATTAAGAAACTAAAGACATAACAAGGGAAAAAGTGTTTAAATTCTGCCTTCTTTATTCTGTAGGAATAGAGTGCTACTACTACTAGAGTAGATGAGGGTCGTACTGAGGTAAAAGCTATAATATTGGTCAACCTTTACATGGAGAAGCATGTGGATTTTTCTGTATAAAATTACTTCTAAAAACGTTACCGTTTCCCCTTAACTCTATAACTTTCCCAGTGCTCAGGCTTTTCCCTCTGTACCTCAGAATAAGTTTGCAGTACTCCAACGCCGTCCGCGGGCATCCTCTCTTTTCCAGAAACATCATGTGCTTATAAAGAGCCAGATAAAATGCCCTGCAAACAGAGATGATTGAATTATTCAATTGCCGAGTCGTTGAAACACAATTTAAATCATGAACGATATTCTAAAGTGCAACAGATGCCTCACAACAGCAAAAGAAAGAGGAAAAGGAAGTTACCAACCTGTTCTCTGTACGCAGATAATCAAGCCTGCTGGTACCTGAGGTCAGACTGAATAAGGGGTGACAGGCACACTCAAAGCTGTACAAGGCCCTCTCTGAAAAAAAAAATAAAATCCAGCATTTACTTATATCCACAACAAAAATAATAATACTTAATTAATTGAAAATACATTTTCAATGAAGCATAAGCAAACTGGGCGTGGCACAATTTACAGAGAGCAGTACTGAAGCTATACATCGCTGCAGGAGCTGGGCTGGGGTCAGTTATGCTCCTTCACATCACCAGCAGGACTTTGCATTCCAAAGACCAGAAGGAAGCAACCATCTTACTTCTTATGTTGAAGTTTAACTTGTGTTGTGATTGAGAAATGATATTAATAAATATAACATTGTGCTTTGCCTGGAGCATGAACTTTAACTTTTTAACAATGGCTGTTTTGTTGGTGTACATCTTACAAAAAGCACTCAAACATTTAGCCCTAAAGTTCCTTATTTAGCTTGATAATCTGATGAAAATTAGGAACCAGTGATTTGACAGCTTTTATTTGTACCTTTTATCAACATCTTTAGTAATTGATGCAACTAACGCACTAAAATCAGATTTGAGATTGGCTCATCATTTTGGATGTGCATGGTTGTGATATGAAACGTTAAAAGTTCCCTTAAAGTAGCTGAACTTACTCATCTTAACTTATTTCTCTGTTCACTTTAAGGATGCTGTTAGCACTACTTTATACATAGTGCATGTAACCAACACATCACAACTTTGATCATAATTACTAGGGATTTGGTCACCATCACAATATTGCTTCCAAACTAACAAGACAAAATGTAAACAACGGCAACAACATTATTAAGTAAGATATTTGGTATGCGCCTCATATTTTGTATGATGATATTAAGTTCAATAAAATATATTGATATGATTACAATGCATTTTTAACAAGAATATCAAACAATGCCGAATCTGTTGCAACATAAAAATACTTCAAATTGTAATGGCAAAGGGAATGATTTTGTTATGCGCTTAACAAAACAGATCCAAGCTGCATCCCTGTTGGGAGAAAATGAAGTGACTAATTAATATCAACAAATGTACTGTGTATGTATGATCCTCTTAGCCATGGTTAGAAACAAACCTGGACTTGGAAAGCCTAATTATGTCTGAAGAGGGACTGTGTCATTTCATGTCGATGCCAAAATATAGAGTCGCGCATTAAAATGTGAACAGAAGGAGCCATGAACAACTTGGCTTAGGTTTAGTATTTGATAATAGCTTAAAATGTAGGAAGAAATCATCGCAATACACCTAATACAACAAATAGTGTTAGTCTGCCTCTAACCAACATCGATCAGTTGCTCTGCGATAGAGTCGGCTGAATTGTTTGGCATCTGGGTCTAAACACATTTACAGTCTTTGGTTTAGAATTGATGTGATTTACAGAAGGAGCTCATGATCCTCACCGATGAGGTCCCTGGCCATCTCCTGGTCCTCCTGTATGCGGCAGACATCAGAGAGCTGCAGCAAGGAATCAATATGGTAGGGGTTAAGCTGAAGCAATGCCTGGAGAGAAGAGGAGACGAGAAAAACAAAGTCAGAAGAGAGAAAATGCTTTCAACGGGACAAGAAAACATGGGTCAGAATGTTACAAGAATGCATGTGATTACACTATTTCTGCAACTGTATGTAACTGATTTTTCGGTATTTACATGAACACACGAGCTGTAAAATAACAAAAGTACATGCATAATAACTTCATCTCACTATATTTGCGGGCAGCACACTTTTAAGCCCAGTGAATGGACATTTATTTTTCCAACCACAGTGTTCATTGGGACTAAACTCTGACTTCTCTTCTACAGTTTTAGGTACACACAACAGTCTGATACGACATTGAACGAGCTTAATTTAATTGCAGTTGTTGATCTTTTGTACTGATGATGATGAGTCAACGAGATTGTTTCAAGCCGATTCAAGAGTTGAAAAGCTTAGAATAAATAACATTGTCTGTGCAATGCTTCATGACCATTCTTGCGACCCTATAACAGTAACACTAATTATCGTATGCATCCCTGACAACATCAACACACTGACACCAAACAGACAAGGAGAGGTGAACTTGTTGTTACCACGATGTTGTTGGGATCCATGGACTCCACAGCATCCAGGAACTTGAACTGTACTTGCTGGTACTGCCGACCGTGCTCAAAGGTGAAGTACTGAACGCCTTCCTTTGACTGCAGTAGGGTCATTGAGATTCCTTTGAAGACATTAAACAGAGTAAAGAACAACAGTACATAAAGAAAGACACAACGGGGTGGTAGGGTCTTATATGTGTGCGTTTTGGTGAATGAATATTAGGCCACCACGAAGCCAACAGTGTGTTCATTTTTAAACAAAACAGGAGTCAAGTGGGATGAACATAATTTATAATGTATATATATGTATATTTCCATTGTATTATTCTAGTTTTATAGACAGCTCAATAAAGAGGATGACAGTCCTCTTTATTGAGCTGTCTATAAAACTATAAAATTGGCAAAAAACATCAGTTTCCGCCTTAAATGTTACATTTAAAAAAGCAACGAGATAGATTTCAGATGACTAGAAGGAAAAGCCAACCTGGGCGGCTGAAACGAGGCCAGCTGTCCTTAGGACTTGTCATCCAGGTGCTGCGGTGAAACTGTCTGTTTCTCTGTCGAGGTCTGTCAAAAAAAAAAAGACACCCATAAAAATAAGCACACAAAAATGCTGCATACATACAGATGGCGTGGGCCATTTAAATCCAAACAGTCTCACAAACCTTTTCACTACTCTTTTTACCTTTGATCCCCCTGAACAGCTCGAGCCCCAAAATATCTCTTCAGCTCCGTCTCTGGGTTGAGGTTCCTAATGAATCGACACAAACGTTAAAATCTTGACAGGCTAAGTGCCGACGTGGGCCAGCTGAGGAAACACATGCCAAGAGAAACGTAGGAGTTGTTTGATTGTCTGCTCTTGACTCCACTGCACAAATGCAAAAACATCAAGTGTGTGCTTTTCAAGAAGTAACATTGACAAATGGACTGGTAACTGGTAAAAAGGGTTTCTATTCTATTCTATTCTATTCACTATACTGAACAAATGGTTTACATATGAAAGGCGTGACTAGGTAAGTGACCATACCAGTGAGACACCCAATCCAAGCCCCATAGTGCTTGACCGTCAGTGTATAGATTGTTTTAAGGTTATCAACTTTTACATTGTAATTATATGGTGGAGGTAACATGAAAAGGACACATCATTGATAAAAGTCTTTGCTTTTTTAAAATGTAGTATTATATTCTGAACACACAAGAGTTTGCACATTTGAGACGGGTGAGAAAACGTGCTTGCTCTGTATCAGCATGGTTGCATCACTGAAAACAGCAGATCACATGACATCACATTTCTATCAACACAGGGAATGTTGCCGTCGACAGCTCATTGAAATGGCTTGCTCTGACGTCACTGGTTGTGTGGCCATATTGCTAGAAGTTTTAACTTTTTGCAATTCTGGGTTGATTGAATGCAGTGCATCCCCTGAGACAGACAGCCTCCAAATAGTTTCTTGCATTAGCCAAACGCCACCACATGGTAGTAATAAGGAATCGCAGAAATGTACATAATAGTGAGTGAGGCTACTGAACTGACCAAGCTGTGCACTGGTCAGGGGCTATTTTAGTAGTACTACTTGTGTTTAATTTTGAACCATGAAACAGCTTAAATGTATTTAACACATTAACTAATGGACTTATACAGTACAGTAGAAACCAAAGTGTTGTGTGCATGTAAATGTAGAGATTAATACTTCTGTCACAAGCCAAACGACGTCTGGGTGGTGAAAAACATGAAAAAATGCAATCTCATCTGAACCCGTCTATTTTGTCTACATGAGAGATGTTGTCTCCTCACCTGTGCTCCACATGTAGCACAGATCTTCTGTCGGAGCCGCTGCAATCCTCATTTTGCAAACTCAGACCATTGGACTGCTCCAGGTTTTGCAGCAATAAATCAATATTTTCATCTGGTACAGCCTCCTGAGGGTGAGACAATGTTTAATTGGTGTTAGACAGGCTGAAGAAGCTACAGTTTTGTATATTGGGTGTCTAATTGTTGGCTCTGAAGAGTGATTGTAACATGTTATGAATATAAAATATAAATTCAGTTGTCATTAATTCTATAAATAAAGCGAGGATTGACTTTTATTGTTATTTATTGAATTGAATGTCCTACCAGAGCAGATACAGAATACCTTCTAAATAAAATTACCTGTCCATCTTCTGACATCACTTTTGTCTTTTTCTTTTTCTTCTTCTTTTTAACTCTGTCTCCAGACAAAGACTGTTAATGACAAGAGAGATTACACTTTAATATATGCAAACACGATCAGAATAATATTGTTTCAGTCAAATCTCTGGATCACAGAAAGACATATTTTTTCTTGCATTGCTTCATTTACCTTTGTGGACGTCTCCTCGTGCTTTTGATCTGGTTCCTCAGTTTCACTGATGTCATTTTTTTCCGTGTCATTTGTTGTATTTCCATCTGGCTTTTCTGCCTCTTCATCGGGTGAGATTTTCTCTGCATCACCTATCTGGTAAAAATGTGACATTTGCAAGAGAGTGTTGGGTAAAGCAGTGCTAAAAGTCAGTAAAAAAAAAACAAAGCTACATGGAACATCGCAAAAAACTTTGTCCAACATCAAGACAAACCTTTTGCTGAAATCATGACATGGTTACTACAATCCAAAAAGCTGACATTAAACGAGCTTACTGTTGTGACAAACAATGGACCTACAACCTAAGATGCTGGTGACCCTGTGCCACAACCTTTAACATTAACCTGAAAAACTGAAACATCTATTTTACACAAAGTAGAAAAGTCATGATTCATGATTTTGACACAGCATAAAGTTGATGCAAAGAACATCTTAGCTTGATATAACAAGGTGATGTCTTGATTTACAGTGATCCCTTTCTTCCAGTGAATTGTTTTTATAGTTAAACATTGCATCACAGTAACTCTTTCTATACTTTTAATGCACGTGTTCACGTAACTACATGGTTATTAGCATTATCAGAGGCAAGGCCTGTACGAATCCAAAATCAACTTGACTTTATTAGTTTTGAACATTCATAGTTGTCTACATTTCAATCAAACATGAACAGATGATCATCTTAAACTTTAAACAGAGAGATTTGCCTCATGTGCAGATTTGTCAGTTATATCGTGTCTCCATTTTGGTTGTATGCGATTTAAAGGCTAGTAAACATGCCTGTTGTACAGTACACTGGACCCTGTTTGTCAGTGTTTTCTTAAGGTTGGTGTTGTAGACTGCTTCTGATAAACAGCTGGTTACTTAAACCGCAATGTAATGTGTCTTAATTTAGTTAAACGAGCTGAGCAACGAGCTAACGTTGACGACACACGGCTAGCTTGAGTTAGCTAGGTTCATGAACGGAGGGAGAAAACACACAGCAGCGTCACGTTAAAAGTCACACGTTGTGATCACACAGTCACCTTACCAATTCATAAATGTTGCTGAAGTTTTTCTGAGCCTTGTTTTTCTTTGTCTTTCGGCTGCTGTCTTTGCTATTGGACGGAGGAGAAACACTAGCCGAGTCTAGCTGCTCCTCCGAGCTGTCACCCAAAGTTAGATCCCCGAGGTCCAAGGCCTCCTGACCCCGCTGTTTCCCTTTGAGCCTTCGCAGAGCCCGGGTAGACATCGTCCACTGCTCATAGGACACATACACGTAAATATTCGCGATTAAAGTAGTTAATGGTTAGCTGACAGACACAACAAGCCAATGTAATGAGGGTGAATTCCATTGGTTTCCTTTTCTTCTTCTTCTTCCTCTAAATGTTTCAACACGTCTAGGTGTGTTACTGCCCTCCACAGGATATGTGGAACATTGCATCAAAAAGGGTCCAGTCACGTTGATCATCATTGTAAATGTGCCAATGTTAGTTTTCAACAATTTTTGTCTAGGACCAAATATTGAATCAGTCACTAAGATAACAACAAAACACACTTATATGCCAAATCGGAACAGGAGAAGCCAAGTGATACCTAAAGCAGTTAAACAAATTAGAGGATAAGTCACTAAATGGTGTGACAAGCAATATGCATAGTAGGAAATACACAACACCAACAGTTGACGCATATAAAGACCATAAACAATTGGCACAAGTCTGGTCATACACAAATAACAGGAGGTATAACTAAAACAATAAAGTTGTATTCATACTCATACAGTCCTGCAATTACTTTTCAGTTGGCGGTGCTCACTTATTTCAGTTGTGACAATGTTACATTTCTTCTCTTTCATATATCTACCTCATTCTAAATGGGTCGCCATTTAATTTTGTATCTCATAGAAATGGACTTTAACTTTAAAATAAATTTAAAAAAACATTAAACTATTTAAGTACTTTGAAACAGCCTCAGTGTATGAATTGTGCCGTATGAATTACCTTGTTTTGCCTCACTTTGCCTAAAACTCTAATGCAACTCATACTGCTTCAAATTTACTCTCTAATTTAGATCCATTTGTTGTTCTCTCATGCAGCAGGAGGTGGCAGTGTTAACCTGAGTAAAACTTCGTATTGTTTTGATACTTAAATGAGTAAATTAAATCACTGATTTCATACAAGACACTACATCATTATTACTTAGAAGTATTTGTTAGAAGCATAAACATAAAATAATATTGCTGTAAATCGAATAAGTGCTGTACATTGATGGAGCATCTCACATGTTAAGTATCATTGCACCTCTGTGGTATCCACACATGGCTGCTTAACAGATCAGCTGTGACCAACAAAAACAAATTCTGCATGAGAGCAGAACTGAATGAATAAACATGCAGAACTTGTCTGACAACCAGCCAGATTAATGCATCACACATTCCATCATAAGTCAACAAACAATGGCGATGTAACAAATAATGAGAGAAGAGAAACACTTGAGATGAGAAAGGGAATTTCTGATGTAATGAAATTCAGTGTGTTTGCAAAAGGGGGAAGTTGCAAATGTCATTTCTTAAAATAACCATCCAGGGGAAACTTGTAAAATAAGACATATGAAAGTACAAAAACATGCAGGACAGATCATGAGTCAAGGTGCACAAGGCATTTATTTACAAGACATCAAAATATTGATAAATGCTCAATATAATCAGCCCGATACAGCCAAAACACAATATGTCAATTTAATCCTTGCAAACATCGTCATATTGTCCTTCAAGATTGTGATCAGTTGACCGAGTTAACATAGTGTAAGTATAAGATCTATGCATGGCAACACAATGGATGCAACTTAACTTAATATATATATTCTGGTGGTTGGCACAGAAAACAGATATTGGTTTGCACTTTTATAACAGCAGTACAATGCCTACATCACCTACAGTCTTTTGACTTAGAAACTTCTGTAAATGGTTGCCACTTAACAGCTTTATCATTTATCTTCTGTGGCAGGTTTTGTTTCAAAAGTTAAATTCACTTTATCCATACAGAGGATAAGACAATGAACTGGTTAGTTACTCGCCAACAGGGATGGGGTTGTCATAGGCTGCTCCCTCAAGGTCGTCCACCCGTTTCCTGCGCGTCTCTGGAGGAGGTCTTGGTGGTGGATTCTGGGGAGGATTCTTCATGGTGTCGGCTGGCTTTCGGGTCACCTCCTTCCTTGGAAGAATGGGCTCCCACTGTTCACCTCGGATAGCTGCCTATAAGCAAGAAGGTGACAGGGAAAACAAGTCAGTGAGATCAAGTTAAGCATGCCTGAAACCTATTGTTCAAATCCTAACATAATGGGAGGATACATAATAGTGGCCCTTATCCAGTACACTCATAGTCAAACTGAGCAGTGTGCCACACTTTATGACTTTGGTTACCACATAGTACTGTTGAAGAATTCAGGCACACCCTTGACAAGTCAGATTTCATAATTATAGGGCCATGTCTCAACTGAGGAACCAGTAAAGAAACAATCTATTCCTTGTTGCCATTTCCTTGTTTCCGTCAACTGGCCACTTCCTGCCTCATCGAACAACTTTATCAAATGATATCTGCTATAATCAGAGATTCATGTGGTAAAAGCTGAAAACTTACCGCAAGGTAGATGAGGCTGGCAATGCCGAGGCAGACACATCCGAGGACAGTTGCAAGCATAAAACCTCCAGGTACACAGATTCTAAGAAAGACAGAAAAGGAATTTTGAGGACAAAGGACAATAAAGACAACTTGTTTGTCTATTGTTGGAAAGACTGACAGTGAATGAGAGGAATGCAGTCTGGCAAAGGAAAGTGGCTGTCGTACTGAACTCACGCAGCATGTAGAAATGCTCTGACATAGTAGTTCCTTGTCAATGGCCCAAAGGATTTCACACATACGGTGAAGCAGTACTGGCCCCTGAGGGAAAACGAGAGACAGGACTGAGCAATAAGCTTAGCAATCATCACAGAACGGCCTACATATAAAAACATTTATTCTTGGAAGACACCACTTACGTTCTCTCCACACTTGTGCCTTTGGCCCTCTTGCTTCTGGGATACTCCAGAAGACACACAAACACCCCAGCAGCACTAGTCATCTGTCAAGGCTGTTTCATCTCACAAGGTTCACTAGTCACATAATAACTATGACAGGACATCAAAGCTAATTTACATAAACATCTGTGGCTGTGAGAAGGTTCAGTGATATTGAGAATGATGGAGGGACTGATTGTTTCAGATATAAAAGGAGATAGCAGAATGGAGGAGTTCCATATATGCAAAACATTTATACTGGTATTGGCTTTAATTTACTATTTGACTGTTCTTTTAGGCATTGTGATTTATTAATTCTTGGCATGCAATCGTTTCTAAATGCTGTCATAACAATGCTGAATAACAGCGGCAAAGTACACAGAACACCTAAAATGTTGTTCTGCACAGACTTCAGTTTAGGTAAAGAAATGTCAAATGATAGCAGGTCTTGGACTCTGGGAATTGAATCGTGAACATTTTCAAAAAGAGACAAACTCAATCATCCTGGTTTAAGTATAAAGGATACATGGCATAAGCAGCAAACTGCCAGCCTCTGAACTGTGCAGCCACCCCTACAATGCCTCCAGTGAGTAGAACTAAAAGAAGGAAGCAGGAAGTTAAAATTTAAAATGATGACAAACATACATTTTATGAATCCACTCAAAGAGACAAACCTATGTTAAATTGTGCATCGCTTTGACTGAAAATCATTCTCATTTGTTATTAAACAGGCTTGAATCTACAGTTGATTGATGATAATGATGTTATATTGCTGACATACATATATCTTGGTCAAGGAACTAATGACGGCAGCTAAAAAACCTGTGAAAATATTCTATTTGATCTAAATTGCTCATGTACGTTAATCAGACAATACTTTCTATGAAACTCACTAAAAGTTATTTTTTTTTTTTTCAATCTTAACAAAATGTTTGTCTACTCACTGAATCCTGAGGCCAGAGCCTGCTCATTGGCCCACATCGCCCACTCGATTTTCCCCATTGCGTTCACTTAAACAGCCTCTCTGCAAACTGCTGGAACTGATCAGAGAGCGACTCACAGCTGAGATGGTTTCTACAAGGAAGAAGATGTATTTACGTGAAGTGAGGTGTGTACGTGTGCAGGCTGGGAGGCGGGGCGTACGTGAGCCGATCCCCATTTCAGTCGGCATTTCCGAATGGTGGAGGAGGGAGGGAGGGGCTAGCCGATCAAACTTACCAGGTAAAACTAATTATAACACGGGCAGTTGTAGAACGTTCATTTCATATGCAACTCCTGCTAATTGTTGTCCGTTTATAAGGAACTCATTCGGGATAAAGGTGTTGTACACAACTATATAAAGGCGTTTGATTTTTGCCATAGATAAAGGAATGATCTCATGGTTTTATAATTGACTCATAAGTGATTTTTAAAGCAGATTTGTTTTCGTGCTTGCTGGGCTATGCCATTGTGAACATTTCAGCTTTCAGTGAGGCATATTTTCATTTTCTTTTCCCTTTTTTGCATCTGTCCCTGACAAAAACATCTGACAAAAGCTTGATTTTGGAAATGGCAAAAGACAAAACAAGAAACAGATATATTGACTAAAATATATTTTATTTAATGTTACAGAATACAATTGACAAAAGTTAAGTATGTACTGTAGGTCTGAAATTAGGTTTTCACAAGAAAATTAAAACATAATTAAAAAGATATCCATTCAAATTCCCGTAGGCACAAGCATGTGCTCAGACAGGACAGAGAGCACAAGCTCAGCTGCAGTACTAGCTGCATTCATGGTTCAGTGTGTTGCTCAAGAGCACACAGGCAGTACCCTTGAGCAATGCCAGAGTGTCTATGTAGACATGCCTAATTAAGAGAGAAGGAGAGGCACACCAGTACAGTTTGATAATTAAAAAAGACATATTAGCATCAACAATGGTAAGGAAGGTGTGGTGTTGCTATGATTTGTAAAAACGTAGTGACGACAAATGCATTATTGTTGATCAGTGGAACTTTGTCTATTTTTGGCTGCAGGGATTCACACAGTTTTCTTAGGCAACCCATCAGATCCGAGAAGATGCCGAGTGGGATCCTCCACAACACAAGGGCCTGGTCCAACCTTGAACACAAAACAAGAAAAGATCATTATTCAAAAGAACTCATCAACTCACCAGCTTTTTCTAATAAAGTCTAAACATGAATAAAGGTCAAATACTGAATGAACTCTTTAATGCCACATCAGTGAAGCAGAGTACTGTATATCACAATATGTGCCACAATTTTCAACTGAAGTAGTGCAACACAATATTTACGAAAGAGCACGTTAAAAAGGAAATGTGGACAGAAATTCAGACGTGTCTCGCAATCTGACAACTGATATATCACGTCTTTTTACTTTATTTTGTGCACTCTTAAGATAAACACAACAAGACATTTAAAACTAAAACAGATAACATTGAGTTTCAGTTGTTGTTGATAAAGTAAACTGATAAAACACTTGAGTGACAGAGTGATTACATCTGTGTGTATGTCTGTACCTTGGTACTAATAACATAGCTTAGTCCCTTTGGCAAGGGCTCGAGACCAATTGCCTGTTTCAGCTCCTCAGAAAGAGCCACATGATTAACTGGAAGACCCTTTAGAAACCTGCAGAGGAGAAAGAAACATTCAATTACTAATTTGAAAGAGACTGAAGCAAACATAGCTTATTAGACAGTGAGAGACAGCTTATTTGGAGCCAAAAAACACTATCATGGCGAGTTTATGTTTCAGATTTCCGATGAATTACCTTGTTTGTCAGCAATATTTTTTAAAGCTAAATGTAGTAAGTCGAGTAACTGTCAACTCACTGTCCTCCATTGGTCTCTGGGGGGAAGAAATGTTGAACTGTTTGAACAAACTCAGGAACATGCTGCTGTAGCGTGTAGATCACAGCGTTGGGTCCCGCATCGAATGTGTAGGCCAACTAGAGGGGAACAAGGAGACTGTAACCGACATATAAGGAGTGTGAAACCACCCCACAAGTTTCACGTCTTCATTACACAATCTCAGACATTCAGCTGCATGAACAATGAACAGAGGCACATTTCTAACAGAAGAAAAAAAAAGTGCCTTCACTTAAAAGCAGGGATACAAAAGTGAGGAGGCTACAGTTCTACATAATGCATGGAGTACATTACTAAAGACAAAGACACTGCCACACACAAATGATCTGAAGACATTTGAAAGTATGTTTGTAATTTATATGAGTTCGCCCCATTAACTACAAAACATGTGCTGCATAACTCTTCCAAGTCATTTTACAGTTTCTTTCACGTTCAAAGCTCAATGTTTCCATTTATTACTGTATTTTATCATGCAAAGAACTGCAACTCCTAATCCATCAAAGTTACCATTTTTAACTTTTTCTTTCTTTATTGTTGAGTAATAATGCATTAAGTATTTTTCTTAAGTAAATACACAGCTGTCCAACACTATACCAAGAGGAGTACTACATCAATGTTTCTGCTCTTTCTCAAAAAGTTGCTCACCCTTGTCTCCCCGTAGTGTCTGTTATACCGATGCACCAACTTGATAACCTGTTGAGAGACACTGTTGAGGTAGAAGATAGGTGGGTATGTGTCAAGGCAGGTTGCATGGAACTGGTTACTGTCCTTCATGGTTAGTTCAGCAAATGCAGCAAAGTCCTTTCTTTGCACGGCTTCAATCATCTCTACCATCCGCCCTGGGACGACAGACTCGGCTCGGTGCTACACACACAGAAAAGATTCACATAGGCTCTCTTGTGAGAAACAATGAATTGGCTTTAAATACAGTGTAAATGAAAATAATCTCCACTTTTAACAGATTGACATTAATGTTAGTACATGGAATAATGTAAGTTAATGCGCGTACCTTTAAGAGACGGCTTGTTTGTACACTGGTTTGCATTCCAGAGGTGCTGCCCACTGGCTTCCTCTCAGCACTGGCCTACGAAAAAAGCATTAATTACATGTGATATAATTTTTCTACTATCTTCAACTTAAGTGTACATTTTGTGCACTGGTCAAGACGCTTGCATTACATGTTGTACAAAATATAGTCATTCATAGAAGTAAAAAAATAGCATGCGACTTTCACAATAGAGTACAAAAGTGCCAAGACATAACTGACTCACATCATTCTGTCAGTCTCTCTCTCAAACAAACACAAGCTGACCTACCACTAATACAAGGACTCTGAGCTCAGGCCAATGAGTCTCTGGTGCCACCTGCTGGGCTAGACTGTCCTTGCCATCGTCTTCCTGTCCCATGATCCACTGGACAAACCCTCCATACATACTACGGCATGCGCTCCCGGAGCCTTGCCGAGCAATCCCAGACAACTCCCCCTCCACGGCAAACACCCGGGCAAGAGTGTAAACTGCAACACAATAACGAAAGAGGGAGCAGAGGCGACTAGGTCAAATGGAAATGTATCAAATATGAGATAGACATGGTATATTGAAGAATGGGCACACACAGGAAACATAGTTCTTATTGTAAGATGACAACAATCAGTTGAGTGTTCAATAAAATGAGTACTCTAGTGTCATTACTGTGCACTCACCTAGACAAGCGAATCCAGCAGCAGAGGAGGCGAGCCCGGCAGCAGTGGGGAAGTCGTTAACAGAGCAGATGTGGACTTTGTGAGACAAACCCATCGAATCCAGAGCAGGGTCCCCGTCATTACGTCTCTTCCTTGCAAGTCGTCGAACTAAACACAGAACACAGAAAAGTGACATGGTGGCCGGCACTGTCTCTAACTCATACCTTTTGTCCTCTCCGTGGACTCACTTTCTCTCAGACAGGACTGTAGTCGAGGATGGGTTATGTCCTCCTCTTTGCCATTTAGCCATATTCGATCTTCCTGAAATGACCTGCTGGTTGCAACTGTTGTGGTAGTTTTCAGCTGAACAGAAGGAGGAAGACGAGGCGGATGTATATGAAATTGTAGCTATCGTATCACTAATACAAAGTCAGATTACAAAATCTAAGCCTCAAAATCTGCACATCATATATACGACACCATTTATGTAACCCACCCAGGCACAATTCAACAGCAAGGTCCATACTTTCTATAATCTGAATCATGTATTTGTACGCTCTTGGTATGTTTCCATTACATTTACAGCGACCATGGAATACAGATGGTGACACTATATTCTAATACTAAACAAAGGTTACTACATAGTTTTTCCAGACTGACACAAGTGTCTCTAATTATTATTAGCCTGTATTACTGGAGTCTTCATATAATGTAGCAGCTCTGTACAGAAGTAATAACACTTTGAGTAAGCGCACTGTTTACGTACCTGGTCTTGATGCAATGTGACGCTCAACGATGAGTTAATGGGCAGAATTAACTCTTCATTTCGCTTCCCCCCTAGAAAGTAAGTGGTACACAAGGTGAAACAATATTAATATGCTTTAATGTGCAGTATTCAGTGAGACACCATGCACAAGTTGCCATACCAGAAACACATGTATCGTTGTTAAGAATTAGAATTAACTTTAGTTATCTTTGCTACCTAAAGCTACAAACCTGCTACACAAGGATAAACACAAGTCGAGGAGATACTTACAGTATTTGATGACCGCTATATTCACAGGAGCGGTGCATGTAACTGTGTTTGGCTTGTCCATACTATCTCCAGGCATAGCTCTGCATGTAAACTGACGTTTGTATTGCTAAAAGTGTAACTGTATGCCTTGAAATATACTTTCTCAGGCTCCTCTAGTGCTCTGCAGTTACAGTTAAGCTAACGCTGTACAAACTTACTATCGCGTTTCCTCACGGTGTCTTACGATTGGCTGGTCTCGAACACGTGGCTAACCCCGCAACCAATCAGAGTCGAACCATTCTGAGTCAACAGTCGGAAGAGCCAATGAGAGATTATCTGACCACGGTCGTGCGAAAATGGGGCAAGGAGAGAGACCAGCCCACAGCAGTGCATCTCACTATGGACTTTATATGAATTACAAAAAATCCATTTAACAGTTTAGGCAAAGTAAACGAGGATTATGAATAATAATTTAAAAAAAATCAAAATTGTCTTCAAATATTGTAATTGTATATCAAAACCAGTAGTAAGATAAGAACAAGTAAAAAAACAACTTTAAGCTAATTATACTTAAGTATTTCCATTAAGTACTACTTAATGGTTAAACTCCACTACATTTCAAAGACAAACCGTGCAAGCATTTTAATGCAATACATTCATCTAAGCAGTACATGATATATTCAAATACTTTATATTTCGGATAATACTTTTACCTTAACTTAAAGTAAACCTTTTAAATGCAGGACTTTTGTCATGGAGCACTTTCACCCTTTACTTAACCTCTTGAATAAAGGATCTGAAAAGTCTTTCCACCAATGGTGATAGGGTAACTCCCTTTTTGTAGCATTAGATTACTCTTCTTTCACTTGACAATGCAGGTAATGATCAAAGCAAAAAGTATCACTTGACTGTAGTGTTCGTAAAAATTAATGCCAAATGTGAAGCTATGCTAACTCTAGCTAAGTAATTCATGGTGATGCAACAGTAATGCAAGTATTTCCTTCGGTTGTTTGACCGGCTTACTCTATGTTAATTGTGGAAACAAAGCTTAGTGTTATTTTATTTAAAAAATGAATCACGTTTCTCGTTCATGCTTTCTATTTTAAAAGTAGTTGGATACATTTAGCCATCTGTAAACTCTTGTTGATTAGTCAGTCATCTCTAAAGAAACATTAAGTCAACTTTTCCTATTGTGTTGAAGATCATGTGTAATGATACTGCAAAGTTTTCTGTTCTTGCAGTGAGCATAGTCACTCACAACCGTGCTAATTGTGTGCGTTGACCAAAGGAACAAAATCTATGAAAAAACAAAGTAGAAACCTTTTTATAGCGTTGAACTCTTTTTCATAACTGTACATTTTAGAAGTGGTTTACTAGAAAAACAAACATTTTTATATTTTTTTATGTAAACCTTTAATAAACATGTCAGCAAAAAGAAAATATCAAAGTGCAACAACCAAAGTTAATGGGATGCTGGCCCTAAATACAGAACAATGTTTAGAATTCAAATAATCTAGATAAAATGAGTGTGTTTTGTATTTTATTTAGCTTCTTGTGATTGAAGAACAGAAATCCAACATGGTAAAAATGAAAGAAAAAAAGAGTTACAACAGAGAGGAGTCAAACGGTGCCATGAGCTATCAGGGGTATGACGCAAGCAGAGCAAATTTGTAGCAACTTGATCAAAAAGAGATCCCAAAAGAGCACCATATTTGACACCGAGTATTCTAACCCCCCCAACATCTTATGCCACAATGTCAACTCCACTTTGTTCTTCCTTCCTAGAGATGCAGTTTCCAGAAACACACAGAGCTTCATGTGGCATCCCATGATTCAGCTAACAGGTCAAAGATGGTATCAGAGTCTCAGTGAAGCATATCCTCTCCAGATTTCTTGGCTTGTTCCACGGTTCCCATTGAAAGTTAGTAATCATCTTCATCATCATCCGAGTCCATCACCCTACGCCTGTCGAACTGACAAGTACAGAGCATAAGGATGTAAGATGGACAAGTGACTGACAATTACTCAAACAGAGGGGACATTTCAGTGGCATTTACTTTGACCGTTGTCATCTTCTCTGTTTGCCCCCTGACTTTCTCTAGAATCTCGATCAAGCCCGACTCGGAAATCTGACAAAAGAAAAAATCCACTTGTCACAGTTCTGGCATGTGGAATAATAGCAACATTAGCATTTTTAAGCTTCAGAGCAGAGGTCATTTTCTTACCTTTCCTCCCAAAGATCCATAACGAGCCATTTGAATGAGATAGTTTTCAACTGCTTTGGCCTTCTCCGGCTTCACCAACGCAAGATTGCTCACTGAAAAAGGAAAATTATTTTACCACCTTGTGTTCACATTTGAGTGGCATTTATAGATGTACACAACTTATTCATCACACAATATAGCTGCAAAGGCGCACTGGACCTTTTTACAAAACTCAGTAAGAGGAGCCTTAGATTTCTTAGATAAATCCTGTAGGACATTTTCATTAGAGTGAAGAGAAACCGCTCTTAAGATGTGTTACAAACATTGCTATGATTCTTTTCGACAACATTTTTAATACTGGCATGCCGGTGGTGACTTGGTTGCATACAGTGCCAATCCTGCTATTTAAAACAGGTTTTAAAAGGTGTGTTTCTTTAATCATTTGTAATATTTTCCATCTGATTTTCACAAAAAGAAAACAGTATTGCTGTTTTTTGGCCATTTTCAACATGCCAAATAAATACATCTCACTACAATGTCTGTCTGTTGTTCTATTTTCTCGACAACCGTTCATTCGATCGACTTCACACGTGGCTGGTGTATTGCTTTTGAGATCCACGGGACATTATTAGTACTTGTTAGTAGTATGTTATGTATACACTGTGCAGTAAATGTTTGTGTGAGCTTTTGCCCCCAAATGAAGTGTCGACTCTACCATCGCTAGTGGGTGCAACTACGTCACGGCAGGTGAAATACTCAGGACCAAGAGAAGCGCAGTGTTCCGATTGTGAAGTTATTTCAATTAGTGGTTCTTGAGAAAGCTGTGAGCAGCAATACCGGAGGCCAAGCAATCGGTTAGTATTTTAATGATACCTTTTGGTTCTTCAAGAGCTTGATGAATTTCCAAATGGATTCCTCTCAATAATTAAATTACTTACATCTGGCCCGGGCAGACTGGTCGAGAACTTGAGCCAATATAGAGTTCCTCATGTCATGTTCTCTGGAAAAAATAAAACATTACTACATTAGCACTACGTACCACTGTTTGGGTCAAGGACTGCTGAGACCAGTAAAAAGGAAACAGAAAAATGCTTTTATTGACCCGTCAGGCCATCAGAACATTGGCTCGGTCCCACAGCTACACAGACAGGTTTAATATTATATTAAGTGTTGACTTTGCTTTCAAATATATTGAGACTCTGTAATAGTAATGACAATAGTCACAATAGTTTGTAGATAACTCAGTGTGTTCTTTAATTTAAAGTACTAATAAAGACACCGTACTGTGTATAAAGTAAAATGCATTCACTATATGTCTATGCTTTAAATGAATGAACACATCTTACCTTTGTTTGGCCTCCTCTCCTTGCTGCTGATTATTTGAAGCATCCTGAAAGAAAATGTCAGAAAGCATTGTCACATACAGGTTGTATTTCTGCATTCAGCTAACTGGAGGATGTATAACAAGGAGAAAGATTTCATAGCAGCCCAACAGTCCCACAACACCTCACCGATTAGCTTAATAACTGTCTCAATGAGTTCCCCCATGCTGGTCCATCATTTTATGAAACAGAGTTTCAATGATATATTTCACTAGAACATAATGTTTGGCTAAAGATATGTTGAAACTTGATGCAATACAAGAATCTACAGCACGCCTGTATCAAAACAACAGGTTAAGGTGTCAAGTCAGACAACAGTCATTAACATTAGCTAAACCTAATGTTTATATAAATAAGCTATGTATTAATCATGATGGATCATTTACAGTATTGTTTTCTGTTTTACATTTTTTATCCACATACATTTGCGCTTTGAATGAACAACTTTTCCTTTTTACGATACGATTAATTTGGGTATCTAGGATACCTCTCACCTTATCTGCTCCCTGAAAAAGTAGAGCAATTGTTCAAATTAATCTAATTTCAAGTCTTTAGTTCCCATTTTCTAATATTTATTTAGTCTGACATTGAATGTCTCCATCTTGATAAAAGTTGGAAATGAAGCATACATGAACACAACGGAAACAGTCCTGGACTTTTCTACTTCTTTCTTCTATTTTATTAAATACTTGTCATTAAAACAAATCCCACATGTCAGCACTCCCTGGAGGGCAAAGTAGGAAGTTGTGACACCGTTTATAAATTACCTAAAATATATTATAGCCTTTCTGTACAGCAATGTCTTATCTGGTACAATCTACAATGATACCAATCTATCTGTGATAAAATAATATCTTACTAATTTCATCAATGGGTTTCTGCTGAGCTGTGTGTATATATTGTGTACAAATTAGATACTGTGCGTTCAAGAAAGCAGTGTTTATACATTTCACTCACATAGGATGGCACTATATCAATATTTTGTTAGAGTATAAATATACAACGTTATGTATTACGGTCACATAAGACATTATTTACCTTGCACTATAAGAGAATGTTTCAGTTTATCATGTGGATAATAAAGAAACACTTATGGTAATGAAACTGTCTTGCCTTCTCACTAAATAGAAATCCAACAGATAATCTACGAAAATACTCAATTCTAACTAAGCTCACCAGTCTGCTGTGTACTTGTGAACATAAAATAAATACATTTGACATAACTCGTTGTTTGATTCTAACGCTGTCATTGTCAGAGGGGTGTGCGCTAGCAGTGCCAGTGAGATGCTGCTGGTTATTACTGTGATATATGTTACTTACTACGGAGTTAATCACGGTTCTTTTACACAGAGCATGGTTCTCATAAGTGGGCTATGTATATCCACGGATCGACAGTTACATTAGTTGAGTTCTAGTAACTGGTTAGCTAGCTAGCAGCATCTCAGCCTCTCCTTATAGGGCGGCCGCAAACACGCTTCCCAGCTCGTGTTTTGTCCTTACCCCGTGCTTTGCCTGTAGTTCCGCCATTCTTTGCCGCCTAATTGCCTCCAATTCGTCGTCTGCCATGATTAACAGAAGTGATATGCACCTAATAGACTGAAAAGGGACGAGATAACTTAGTAAAATGTAACCTAAACTCCCAGCAGAGGTAAGGCCCTACCCAGTACAGGGGAGTGCAATCAACACCGAGCCAACACTCAGGCTTAAGCAATCGAGCGCAGAGTGAAGATCACATAAGACGGATGTGAGAACTCTTACTGGACAGATGTATGAATTATAGAAATATATATAGTAATGGTTTCTGTTGAGGATGGGAATGGCCTCAGGTGTTACAGGAATTGACAAGGCAATGGCAGGATCTTCTTTTTGAGAACAATGTCCATGTAATATACTTTATTTTAATGTTATTTGTTTCACACAATGTGAATTTTGGTCAGTTTCATTTAGTATAAAATACAGAGAGTGCTGAGTTTTTGAAAAAATACTAGCAGGTGGATTTATATGCATGTTAGCAAAAGACCAAAAGAAAAAAATGTACCCAAAAAACCAGTTTATTAAAACAGTGTATGCCTTGACAACAGTTTGAATAAGCGTTTAATATAATGGTATCCTAATAAGTACACTGTATATGAGTAATATTGTTTGTGTAATCATAACAAAATTATATTTATTACAGTATCACATCATTATTCAAAGGGAAGGATAATTCAAATGGAGCATTGTGTCTTGTCAATAGACAGTACAGCTGGTGCTGGGATGGATGTTCTTGGTGGAATCGCCTCTGCCTGTGATGGGACATCACTGTTGATTTCTAGCTCCCTCTGTACGTACTATAAGAAAACCGACTCAGGAGTAGTGGGACATGGTACTTTTTGCCCGGGTCATTTATAGTGAAGACAATCTGCAACAAAACACCAAACATGAAAAAGATCAACAATTACAAGTAAGACTGATAGTCATGATTGTTAATTGCATTGTATGCCTATATGCCAAGTTAAATGAGGGTACAAATTCACAGATCTAGTTACAAAAATATGGTAAAGCCACAGCAAGTAAAGCAGCATTATACCTAAGAATAAAAGATGAAGATCATGTTGGCACATAACCCTTTATGCCTTTCCTCACCTCAACATACGGGTAGAAGCAGGTCTCTCCCATACTCTCCCAGTACTGAGCAGTCTCAAAGTGCAATCTATAAACCCCAGAAGTAAACATTTGGGTTGTGATGAGTCCTGGGCAGCGTCCATCAGCATTAGTGATCCTGTTGAGACAAAATATGATTTAAGACCTATGATGAAAATATACATTAGTGGTAATATTTGAGAATTTCCTGTGACCATATTTGGGGACTATGTGAGTGGTGTTTTGCTTATGATACTTTTCCTCAGGTTTTTACCCAGTGGTTATCAAACTCCAGGTACCAGTAGAGGGGTCTTGTCGATAGAGACTGAGGCCCATGTTCGCACCAGGGACACCCATTGCCGTGTTCAGCACATGGGTGGTCAGGGGACTAGGGCCTGCCATTGCTGTGATCTACAGAACAAGAGTTTAAGACTTTCAGTTGATGTGCTCAAATCTGAAGAAATCACATTAGACTACAACATTAAAAATTACACAATTATCTTTTGACAACTGGCAAATAAATATTAATACGGGACTAGTTTTGTTGAAGTGAAATTGGTTTTGAATTATATTTGTTAATTTGTTCCAAATGTAAAGGAAGAACACTTTAACACCCCATCTTCATATACTATCTTACATTCATATAGCACAGCTCTTTCAAAGTTGTCAGACTTATTTGATGTATAGATTTATTTTAGATATGTGCTTTCTGCTTCCTTGATCAGCACTGAAAAGTTAGCCATTTAAAGAGGGAACCTTCCTGTATTGAAGCAACATGTGGGATTTATTTGGGAATGCAGAGTGAAAATTCTGTTTCAGAACATTTTAAATACTTACAAGTAACAAATTGTACATGTACGTTGTGTGTTATTATGTATAAAGGGTAATGTATTTAGGGTAATTGAATAACAGGACATGCAATTTCCTCAACTAGATACAGAGGTAGTTGTTCAAACTAATAATATCTGAATGAAACCCTGGATATACTGTAATATGTACATTCAAAAATGTTTTTTTGGTAAATATATATTTCAGTGACTGACTATTGACTGCCCCTGTTGTAGCCTCTCTCACTTCTCACAAAATATCTTCTCAGTCAGAGTTCATGCTGTTGCTTTAACATACAATATACGGTACATACAACATATTGAATATAATTGTCTATTCTATTGAATGAAATATTGTATTGTATTGTATATCTATTAAAAGTTTTGTTCTTACCTTATTTCCAGGCAAAATATGACCGTTGAGTTGCTGCAGCCTGTACGCGCTCATGTGTGCTGATGAATAAACTGGGTCAGTGGTTTTAACCAAAAAAATATAATTTCATGGTCAGATGTTTGTCACATTTCCCTTGCAAATCTGCACACTGACCTATTCCACATGACATTCAGCACTCAAGCGCTTATCTTTCTGTCAACAGAAGACCGGTTTTGCAAGAGCTCCTTTTGTCACTCTTTGCTTTCAGCACTTTGAACTTAGTGGAAAAGGATGATGAAAGTGGACTGCTCAGAGGCCGAGGCACATGCAGACAAGCACATAATAATTGAAGTAAAATTAACGTTTCTTTTCATTTTCTGACATATGTTTATCTTAATGAACCCTAAATACACTTCCTGCTCGAATTATAATGGTTAAGACACGTGCTGTGATACCTCCTCTCAACCCGCTCTCATTTTAATGACATTCAAACCAGAGTGTTCAATGTAATAATTTCAAACATGAGGGATCTTTTAGAGCTAAATGTTGACAACAAGCACTACTCTGTGAACACATTAAAACATGGTGACTATTACATCGGGCTATTGGAGTTTTTCTTTGAAAGTATTGCTGTAATTTCTTAATGCTACTATATTTTTTAGTTTTTCTTAGAAACAACTGTCAAAAATCTCTGTGACATGAACTGTGGTAAACATTCTAAACTGAAGGTCCATTTAATGAGCTATTGCCAGAGCTTTCTACTATGACTCTTGGACTTTATCGTCAAATGGAATATGCTTCGTTTAGGACAGTGTGTCATCAGTAAAGAAATTGTTCTCAACAATTAACATTAATTATTCCAACTACATTTCCTGATATGATTTGACAGTTTCTAGTTAGCTATCATGTCCTATTTCCAATATGAACTAACCGCACCATTTGACCACATGAACATCCTAAACTATGCACTCAGCATCTGGTCACTTTTTATGCTTAGTCAAAATATTGTTGTTTAAAGGGTCACATAAAAACAACCAATAGTTATTACCATTTTCTCCCTGTGGCCATAGTATGTCAGTTATTAACTCAGTCTTTAGCTAAAATGGCTTTTCAGAGACACAGCTAGTGGTAGAAATACTTTCTTGCACACATTTTACATCTGCAGTATCTCCACCACTAGTCGTTTTTCTGAAAGAAATATAGTAGAACAACCAAACTTTCTTAAAATAACCATATGCAGAAAATGTACTGTACCTATTGATCCGTTTTGACCTGGCTGCCATGTTGTTGTCACAGGAGTTTGAAGTCTCATCAACTGTGAACAACTTGTGGAAAATGAAGCATCGCGTTAGTTCATGCAGGACACGGAAGTCATACGCCCCCAGCTGTAAACTGACAGCCAGCCTATTGAATCATAGCTTCCACACGGCACGGCCACGCACCAATCGCAGCCCACTCTCACTTCAGGGAGGTTTATTTAAATATGACTCCCTCCTCACTGATTCCTTCTACACCAACGCTGTTACAAGCCGTACTGCCGGCAAAGCTTTGCCTCCTCCACCCCTTTTTTAGTTCAGAGTTCATCTTTCATGGCAAATGGTTGAAATGTATTTAAAAAATGTACTTCTGTAAACATTCCTGTAAAGTTTACACCCTTGGGGGTTGTTGCTCGGTGCTCCCCGTTTTGGCTTGGTAGCTGCTGGCTAATCTGGGGAGCATTCAAAGAGCGATCGAGCCATCATCGCCAAGTTTATCTGTATGTCCATTTGTTGCAATAAATGGTTAAAATCTATGACGAGAGTGTTCCTGACTGAACTGCTGTAGTGTGAGTCTAGGCAGTGTTAGTGGTATCATCAGGCACATAGCAGCCTTCAAAACTACACACACGGTATGGATAATAATGTGTACAATTCTGCTTGAGGGTCCGATTGACCTGAGGTCAAACCATCCATGCACCGAGGACTACAGATGTTGTGGGTTCAGAGAAACCTGTGATCATGTGATCTAGCTCTCTGATTTACGGCAAGCGAGATGATGTTTACTTTCAGCTTTCCTCTGTTTGATATGGAGTCTATTATTATATATATATATATGATTTATACACTTCGGATATTTGCACACTGTAAAGTTTTGGAGCAGTACTTTCAACATTTTATGATTTCTAATACTTAACATTATTTCCAATGTTTGTTTCTCTTTCAATTGTTCTCTCTGTGTCTGTCTTGGTCTCTTAGAAAAAACACACACACTCCCATGTACTGTATTTATACTCAATATGAAAATACCTTTACTACTTTGACAATGAGTATTTCCACTTGGCTAATCTGAAGAATGCAAACAAAAAAATGTAACAGCATAGGAATAACGTCTTTGTTTTCTTTTAAAAAACACATGAGAATTCCTAAAGCAAGAATAAAATTAGACAGTTCAACAATTACAGTAAAGTTTACAATAATACACAATATTACACACTGACCAGGGCCTCTGCATGTCTTAAAAGTGCCAAATACATGATGGAAGAGAGTAGTAACATTTCTCTAACACATATAAAGGAAAGAAAAGTTTTAGAGTATAGCAGACTGATACTTACAAGCTGAAAACAACCTGTTTCTCCTGAATGATCAGCGTTACTATTCAATCTCTCACAGATTACTGTGACTAACTTTGACTAGCTAAATTCTGATATTTTAGAAAGAGAAAAGGTGAGTTGAGCGTCAACAAAAAGCCCTATTGAAAGATCAAATTTGAGAATGTAGCAATTTCTTTTGCTTTCATAAGTCAAAATACTTTGAGATCCACTGAAGGGATTTTTATTTCACAGTGCATGCACACACTATTATAGTTATACCATAGTTCTGAAAAATATAATATTTAAGTATGCTGTTAACGTAGTTTATAACTGCCCACGCTTCATTAATATTCCAGGTTCTTTATTGTTTCTACGTTATCTAATTGAAGATATAAGAATTTCGTTCTTTGGAAAAACTGGTGAAACGGCAGAAACACTGCAGCACCTCTAGCAACATGACACATTATGTACTATATGTACAGTCTGATGCTGGTATGTGCTGCCTGTTTCAGAAGAAGGCTTTTAATGTGGGCAAGATAAATTGGTAAGCTACTTACACAAGGCTTTCATCAAATATCCTATTGTCTCATTTAGATTAATTCTGCAGTATCTGGATTAATACTGGAATATTGGCATTTGTATAAACCCTCTTTTACAATTAAATAGGAATGCCTCCTTAGGCAGGAAAATAAAAAGTTAAATTCACTACCGTTCTTCCAGTTCTCCTTTATAATTACTCTCTCACTCTCTCAGGCCATCCTACCAAATTCTTCTTAACAGATGTGCATGTACTTGGTTTGTATAAGTCACCTGTATCCATTTTTTAGTTTGACTTAAAAATATGGTCACAGAAAGCAGGCTGTTGTGATACAATAACATAAATGTATTGTGTTATCGGATAATTTGAGTGTTGGCTTGTCGGTTGTTGTTCTCTTCCTCCATGTTTGGCACTTAATCCATGTCCTCTACGTCTTTTCATGTTCCTTCCTCATATTTCCTCCTCTGGGTCAGAGCTGTGGTTGCTCATCTGTAACAGACAGACATAGACAAAACAAAGACACATTTCACTGAACTGTGAGCTCACAATTACTAAAGTGTAATTAAATGATGACATACCAGTGGAAGAAAAATCCACTCAGCACTTTATTATTAATGCCATTTGGTCACTTTAATACTTTAAGATGCATAAATGTTGTGTATTGTTGTGTGTGTATATTGTCTTATGGCAGTGCCAAAAGCAAATTCCCATTTTATGCAAATCTAATGGACAATAAAGACATCTGAAACTGAATGGTGCAAGTATAAATTGATTTTAAGGTAGTGGAGTCTCAGTAGTTGTTTCATGATAACTCACTTTGTAGCACAGAAACATCTGGTTAACTTAATTTTTTTCATTTCTGTGCAAAACTGAGTTTTCCTGTTTCTAAATTATTATGTCTTTCATCCACAAAATGGGGCCCCAAAAGACATACTTCTTAAGACAAATTAACAAAAATTGTGGCACCATCTAGACCTTTGTCATGAATCTCATTAATACCAGAAACTAGCATCATGCGGTTCCGACAACAAAAGCAAAAGGGACGGCCCTCACTGATTTACTTTTTAGTCATTCCAGAACAAGTGCACACAGACTTCAGGTGCATTTACCGTGTGGTGATCATCATCGGGCTCCCTCGGGTCAGGTTTCTCTCTGTGGATTCGATGGCGGGAGCTGGGTGGAGAGAGGGAGGAGAGGGAGTGCTCGGGGCTGCTGGCAGACAGAGCGTACAGTGAGCCAGCTGGACTGTCCTCTCTCAGGGGAGACCCTACAGCACAGGAATAAACAGATACACGCATGGAGTTTAGGTGTGGAACTTAGGTCCTGTTTCTTTTGGAAAAGAAAATACATGTTTTCTGTGGTTCAAAGACAAAAACGTCTGTGCGCATCCCACTGACTTTGTACTTTAAGACAGTCAGAAAATAACAGTGGGAGTGACAGGGGACAGCGAGGGGAAGTGAGAGACAGCAGAGCTAGATAGTGAGAGGCAGGGGAATCAAGTAGAGCCTGAGATACATTTTTTTCTTTTTTTTTTTCGCCCCTGCCTCTCAGACAGACTAAGTTTCCTCAAGTTGTTGACATAATTAAATTACGAATGTATTGAGTACAGATTTTGTAGTAACGACAAGATCATCCACCCACACGCACACAAACCAATGACAGCGATCAGACGAGTAAGTCCGTGTAGTCAAGTTACTTTTAGTCAGAAAATACTGAGGTCCAGACCTCTGTAACCTCAATGGCCATGATAGTATGGACATTACATAGCGAACATACTTTTTTGATCAGTTGAATTAAGATTCCAGTAAAAAACTATTTCTTTAGGATGATAAAGCCTTGACCAGTTCCTTTCCTGAGCCGAAGCTGTTGTTGGCAGACGCAGTAACAGTATTGTGTTCAAACGTCCACATGAGGGCAGCAGCAGCTCTTCCCTCCATGCACACTGATCTGCTGTTGTTCTCAGTCCTTCATATTTGCCTCATCAGTTAGTTCCTTCAGCCACACTGTTTGTTTTGCTTGTTCCATAATTTACTCACATTTATAAATCCAGATACCTGCACAGTTGATATTGGCTTTGCTTCAACTTTTAAAAAATGTGTGACTGGAGGGAATTAATTGATTTGTCAGGTAAAATATGAGTGGCTCTGGTGGTGCAGTACATTCCCATCCCCCAGTTTCCCCTGCGATGCCGATCCTGAATCATTTTGATTGGGGTTGTGACTGGTGGAGCTAATCAAGCAGAAATCTGAAAGTGGCATATTGCAGAGTCCACCTAAAATGTTTTTGATGTGCGAATAGATTGTCTATCAGTTGATCTTGCGCCTCCATTGTCTTTGTGAATGAATGTCTCACCTTTGTGGTCATTCCTCTGTGTGTCCATTTTGTCAAGACTGTCGAGCAGCCCATCGATCTGTGTCTTTATCAGAGTCAGCTCCTTTTTAATCACCTGCAACTCCTCCATTCCCACTGCAGGGATGAAGACAGTAAGAATGTAAAGGACATGAGGAAATTATTACACAACCTGAAAATCTCTTTCGGGATTAGTTAGATGATATTATCATATCATATCAGTTATCATACTGGCAAATGCACGTATTTGCTTTCTTACAGAGAGTTAGCTGAGAAGATGGGCACCAGAGAGGTATTGACCGTCTCATCTGAAATGCTCTGCAAGAAAGCAAATAGGCATATTCTCAAAATATCTAACTATTACCCTTAATTCACTACTAAAATGTGACTATGAAAGAAGAAATGTGCATGCACTTTAGATATCTTATATCAAAAAAGTGCATGTTGGCCTTTAACTTTGATCAGCATGATCAGCATAAGAGTTTCTGCCAAATTAAGGAATCATGCAGCCGTGGTTTTGAATACAGCTAATTTTCTCCACTGCATCGTTTCTCTCTTCAAAGGAGCATCACAGAAAAAGGGGGTTAAAAAAGTCTTTGAACTTCAATACGTAGAGATTGTGTGTTGTGACTTAAGTAAACTACACACAGCATATTTTGTCTGTGACTGTGTTATACTGAAAGGATGAGAGGCAAAAGATCTAATGATCCGAGGTTTATATTTATCATTTCATTTTTCATGTAAAGAGGCATTCCCCTTGCCAGAGTTTTAGACAAACAGTATAAATCTGCATCATCTAATGTAATCTTTTTCTGACTTGAGTCCATTCATATTACTCACACTTGGCTGTGGATGAACTAGTGGAGTGGGCTCTGGAGCTTTTGGAGTGGGTTCTGTCTCGACTGCGTCTGTTCCCAGAGGAGTAGGAGGAGGAACGGGATCGCTTGGCCAGACTGGGTCCCAGGGGCAGAGGAGACAGGGATGCCGGTACACGCTGGTAGTCATACACCCTAAAAGTTCATTAGATACAATTGTAAAACAACTCGTCTTTAACTATGTGCATGCAGCCATTTTGCTGAATTAGTGGGAGGGTGTGCTGTGATTTTAATTGCAACCCGTGTTTGTCTAAAATCAGGAAGAAAGAGAGTCTGCTCACAAGCATGAGAGGGCAAAATGCTGCTTGTGTTTAGGCATCACTTCAATATGGGAACTTTGGCTGTACTTAAATGAAAACGAAAGGGTATTGTAGAAAAACTTGTTTATGTTCCCTTGAAATTTGTATCTAAACTCAACAGTTATTGTAATGTTGAAAAAATTCAAACCCAGCCCTAGCTCAAACAAGACAGGGATACAAGCTGGAAAAAGAGATATTAAAGGAAATATGTGTCGCTTGTGAAAAGCATCTGTTCAAGCATCTCATAGATAAATATGGATATGTATATTCTATATTCTTTTCTCTTTTACTTTCTATCTCTGTTTCTGTCTCTGTTGCGCTGGCGTTGCCTGCTCTATGTCTCCAACTGTCACTGAATGTAATTGGTTCTGTCAGGGCCAATCAATAGCTCGCTGCCAGGCTAGTAGTGCTGGTGACATGGGGTGTATTACAGTCAAACTCTATAGTGCTTACAGAACCAACCACACAAAAAAAACAGTTATGACTAATGTTATGGTCTACGGCAGGAATGTCAAGACCTTTGCGAATTAAATCTCAGGCTTTTTTATGAGAGATCTGAACTGAGTGCTTTTCAGACCTGCAGGTACCAAACCTTGATCATTCTGATCAACTCAATATTTCCGTCTCAATCTGGATATATTTGGATCAGTCTGAGCACAGCCTACATGGTTTCTGCAAAGCCACGAGAGCAAACGGGTCTTCTGCTGTTTGATGCCAGCCAACAACAGGAAGGTGAGCTGTGAGCTCCGAGGACTTGGAGTCGGACGGTAATGTAGATTACTGATCGAGCTGACAGCCAGTTAGTCAGCCCGACTCCCTGAAAAATGTTCTCTGTTTTTCTCTTTCACCTGTTATATTCTCCGAAGCCGCTCTACTTGATACTGAGATTTCTGTGTTCTTCTCACATCCACAGTATGCAAACAGAGACGCACACGCATCACAATGTCATATAAGGATGAAGTGTATTAGACCATCATAAGTGTGTGAGATTAGAAGCTTTGAGCATTGTCCGTGTGGAGAGACACAGAGACCAAAGACTTATGGGAGTTTAAAGTCCTTTAAAGCAGTTTGCAGGGGCAGATAGACAATGTGTTGTTACACCGGCTTTGAAGTGTCATCTCAGAGAATGGAAGCTCAGACAATGAGCGACGAGTGAGGATTACAGAAAAGTGTGTGAGTGTGTGAGAGAGGAAGGGAGTGTTTGTCTCTATGGATTAGACCCCACACGAAAAGCAGCTTTGTCAGCTGGAGCTGTTATCTGTGTGGAAAGACACTTTTCTATCGTGTTCGCACAAGAGGACAGCCAACAAAAAAAATTTCTCTTTTTCCCACATATTGATGTTCCACAAAACAAACAAACACAGAAACAAAATACACACACACACACACACACGGTCCCCACACACTCACACCCAGAGGCATATACATGTGCATGCATAGATATGCACACATACGCTTCCACACCCAGCTGTCAATAGTGCAAGTCAACAGCATGGGGAATAATCATGCACTGTGTTAAAAACAAATTGAAAATCAGTGGTGAGTGTTCCCCCTGAGCATAGATGGAAAAATGCAGAGCAAGGCAAAACAAATGCAAAAAACAAAGAAATGATGACAGTTAATACTCAGACCAACAGAGCATCGATATGTGCGAGAAAGGCACCAGAATGAGGTGTGTATTCTGTGTGTGTGTGTGTGTGTGTGTGTGTGTGTGTGTGTGTGTGTGTGTGTGTGTTATGTGACTGCCTGCTTTTATTCAGATGTGCTGAGTGGAGTGTTTATGATTGAGGCCTGGGGGTTGTAGGAAGGTCCCTGCACAATTTCAGCGGAGGACCAATAATACAGAGTTACTCTGAGTGGAGCTCATTTTAACTAACTACCTCATCGACCTAACCACTGCTATTAACTGCACACTGCACAAGAGTGTGTTCTGCAGTTACATAAAAAACGTAAACACACAGTTCATGACATGTCCCAAACAATATGCTCAGTTTTGGTATTTTTATTGAAGGGCATTATGTAAACCTAACGGATGGTTGTTGTCAATCTGTTCTGGGAAATTGACTTTAACTTAATCTTAAGTGACCTGTTCATGTTTGGCAGTGATTTTCAATTCAATTTTAGTCTCAGTAATTCACAGATTGAAAAAAGTGCTTTTGTCAGCTATAAATTCCTGAGTTTTTGTTAGAATATCGTCAATCAAAAGTGAAGAGGTTTGGCTTTCTTAGTCTTTCAGTGAAGAGTGTATTTTCTTTTGGTTCCAGACTAGTTCCTTCTCATGCCCTCAATTTGGTTTAAAGTGTAGACACCAGGAAATAAAAGCAGTTTTTGTTTGTTTTCAGGCAGAGACTGAGAGAAATAAGTTTTCTGTTTGACTCGACCAAGTGCACAACATGTTTTCCTTCACAGTCACTACACAGTGACACAGACGGACGTGGTAACAAAAATATCTGTATGTACCAATAATGTTTCAACTTAAAAATGTTGCAATATAATAGACATTAGCTTTATTATTTTTATAAGGATGTGAACAAAGAGATCATAAGATCATTTGTATTGACAGGAAATACTAGTAACCCCCATGTCAATATACTATGTAAGCTACTAGGGCTGTCACAATATCAGATTTTCACCACACAATTATTGTGGCCAAAATAATTACATATACATGTAGATTTAAAAAAAAACAAAATAAGCAAATAAATAAGGCTATCAAATTCATTGTGAACTTTGTTTTGTGTTAGTTTTGTCTCTATTTTGGCAAATGAATGACACTCAAAATACAAATGTAAGGAGGTGGAGTGCGTCTGTAACCATAACTGCACCATTATATGTGTGTTATTAATAAGAAATCAATATTACATTTTTAAATTTTAGTTATCTTCAATACCGGTATATTGCGCCACCTCTATGTACTATGTGATTTAGAGCTATGAGCTGCTATAAACTCTGAATGTATTGCCTCTAAAATTCAAGGCAACATCTGTAACGTTACATGGATGCAGCTTAAGCAAATGATATAACTAAGTTTGCTAAACACAGAATCATTTGAGATTCAGCTAGAGTTACGATGCTCGAATGGGATTACAGATCACAAATCCACAAGGTTGGTGTCTTTCCAGAAAGTGTGCACTTGCGTGTCTGTGTATAACAAGTGAGCTCCTGGCTGTTGAGTAGTAACAGGCAACATTGCAAGCAAAGACAGGATGACGGACGGGGGACGGCTGTGTGGCAGACAGTGACGGGGAGCGGAGACTATTGGGGACAGCAAGGATAAATAATCCACTTTAGCCTCTTCCTTTAGCCTCCTGTGACACGCAGACAAGCAATAAGGTGTGTGAGCTGCCATGCGTGGCTTTCTGACATTACCTGTCATTGTAGTCCTCGTGGTGGCTGTCATAGTCCAAGTCGAACTCAGATCTGCAGGAGAGGTGGAGAAAGACGGGGGAGGTGGTTAGTAAAGTATTTGTCAAAACTACACCATGCGCCTTTACTGGAGCGATCACACATTTCACTTAACAAACAGCAAGCTTGTTTGGTGTGTCAGTGTGTAAATGTGCGTGAGCCTCAACAGATTTATACTGTACAATCACTTCATCTGGAAAGAATGCAGTGTTCATGATCTCCAGCCAACTAGAAAAAGACACTGGATTTGTTTTGCTGCAGCATCCAGGATGGAAAATCCATAGAAATTGTCTTGTGTGCCAACTGTACCACCCACTGAACATCTCATCTCATGTGTGCGCTTGGTGAGGTGAGGCAAGCAGTGAGGCAGGTGAGTGATGTAACAGGAGAGAACCGAAATGGGCTGGAAGCTGGAGTGAACCTGTATAGCAGACCAGAGGAAGTAGAGGACAGAAAAGTGACACTAAGCCGGAGCGAGATCACATTCTAGTGTGACAGACCTCAGCATTCCTCCCTAATCCGCACACAGAGTCCCTAATAATCCCTCCATGTTTCTCTCCCTCCCTCTGTCTCTCTCACTGAATCACCCCCTCAATTCGTCTTTTCCATTCTTTCATTTCATACTTTCTCTTTGTTTGAACTGACTTCACTCTTTCCATTTCCCTTTCAATCAGTCTTGCACTATAATTCAATTCGAGAGCTTGACTTGCAAGAGAAGTCATTATGCGCATTGTAAAAACAAGCACATATATGATATAAATGAAAATTTCAGCATACTGTTACTGCATTGAAGATTATTGAATCAGTACATCATAATGACTTAAACCCAGGCAGCAACCTCCGGGTCTGAAAATTGATGCCAATGCAGAAGTGCCTTAAACTTGCATTATCTCTACTGGCCATCAGGGGGCGACTCCTCTGGTTGCAAAAACAAGTTTGATTGCATGGAATGATAAAATGACCCTACTTCTCACTAAATGTATTACCTCCAAGACTGTAAACATGAGTTTATGGTCTCAATCGCTAGTTTCAAGTCTTTTTCAATACAGCATGATGTTTATTTAGTAAATTATGGTCCCATTTAAAGTAAAATAGACGGTAAGTGTACTTTAGTGTGTGGCTACCTTGTGACTGACAGGTCGCTACCACGGCGTTGTCCGGTCTGAGAGTTGTCCGTGTTTTGCCTTACAACTTGAATCCTTTTACAGTGTGTTTTCAGTTCATAGAAGTTAATTGTAACCATTTTGGCTGCCTAAATATGTCTTATTCAGCATTCAAAACGGCAGTCCACAAACCAATGGGTGTCCACTTCGTTACATAGACTACGCTAAATTCTGCACTAGTTTTACCAGCTAGTTGGTAACTGCGTCTGTGTGGTGCTAGGCAGGTATTGTACAGTGCATCTTTAGAGCTTGGTAGGAACCAAGAACCAAGACAGCAAAGCTGTGGGCCAGCAAATCAAAACAATGAGCTGAAAGACACTAAATGCTCCATCGAGCTGAGGGGAACTACAGTTCAAGTAATAATTCTCAATGAGTTAGTCACGAAGAGGGAGCCTTTTCAAATACAAGAGTCTTTGGATCCATTGTTAAAATATAGTTTTTTTTAGATGCTTTAGAGTAAGCAAAAACTGTGCATTTAAAGACAAAGTATAAAACTCTAATTGTGTAATTTGATCTCTGACACATTTTAAAGTGGCTTGTTACCATATATTCAAATCCAAGTGATAACCCATGTTCAGACAATGTATTGGTAAAAAAAATGTGATTTTTGTTCTACATATTTTGGGAAAATAACACACCCAAAGTCCTTGCCATCTGCTTATCTGTCACTCAGGGAGGCAGTGATTCTCCTGGTTGTCGTCATGCTGCTCATCTCAAAGAAGAGATGTTCTTTTTGTATGTCAGGATAAACAGCAGGGGACCAAATACTTCTCCACATTCAGAATTACACACACGTACAAATATACACAGACAAACATCACCGGGCTGTGAGGTGCTGTAAGTGTGCTTGTGTGTGGGTCTCTGGATCTGAAGTGTTGACTTATTTTGGAGTGGACCGTAATCACGTCTCCTCCAGCGTTGCTCTCATGGGCTCTATTCTGTCTCATACCAGCTGGTTTTCAGAGCTCAGGAGGCAGGAAACCACAAAATAATTCAGTGCTCATGTCTGAGCTGCACACTTGCCAAAAAATGCAAAGCGCAATTTTAAATCTAATTTAAAGACTGCCCTCTGGTATCCTATTTGGAATGAAGGAGGTCTACATAATGTATTAGCTCATTTTGTGTCTTGATTCTTATGCATTTTGGGACACAAAAGTAAAAAGGGTATTTCTAGTGAACTGTCCTTTTACAGTACAGTAATCCTTCATCCTGTACCACTGAAGGACACAGAGAGGCAGAAGGACAAGAAAATAAGGACTCCCGGGTCCTCTGCTGAGCTGAGCATTCTGCTCTCCAAGTGAATTCAGCCAGAAGAGAGATAGAAAATAACTGCTATTCACCGAAATCCTCACTGAGGGGGAAATAAGGTGCTGCTCGTTCTCCATTTGTTTTTCTCGCATTGGCGTTCACTGGTTTACCTCCGTCATTGTACATTGTATCAGTTTGTGTCGTGCTCTATGGCAAACTTTATCATTTGTCCTATCTTTTTTTTTAAATAATCGTTAGTTTTATTTATTTTTTTACTTTGTATTTCTCTTGTCGTTATTTCATGCATTAGACTGCATATTTTTATAAAATATATTTTCATATCTAAATTCTACTTAACTCTTTGTTATTGTTGGTCATTCTATTACTTTATCATAATCACTTGAAATGTAGTAAATAACAATTGATTACATTCTTACATATTTATTATTGAATCCTTTATTTAACCAGAAGGGTCCCATTGAGATACAATATCTCTTCTGTCCAGTTTAAGTAAAACATTTTCATAAAAAAAAACGGGATAGTGAAGCTATGACAATGACATCATCATGTTTGTTATTTAACTGCTGAACGTTGAATAATAGATATTCTATATTAATTTGGTCAACCGGTATTTTCATATTAATTAGTGAAGCTAAATCTGTGAGAGGTTACCGCAACCCATTTTGACTGTAATTACATCCAAAGTGAACAGCCAAATGACTGGGTCACTGTGTGTTTGTGTGTGTGTGTGTGTGTGTGTGTGGGGGAGTCTGTGGGCTGCTGTGTTCACACAAAAAGCAACTCGTCTTTGGCTAATGCACACACACACACAAACACACAAAAGCGGCAGATGGACAGCAGGGTCACTAAAGGCTAATTAATTTCTTTTCATAATTTCTCAAGTGCCAAAGCAATCCATTAGACATGGCTGGCTATAAATCATCTCAGCCTCAGCGTGCCCGTGTGTGTGTGTGTGCCTGTGTGTGTGTGTGTGTGTGTGTGTGTGTGCATTAGCCAAAGACGAGTTGCTTTTTGTGTGAACAAAGCAGCCCAGAGATTTCCTCCAACACGCACACTCAACACCCGCTGTAGGCAGAAATCCATCAGTTTCACTCCAGCTGAATCTATGGCACAACCTCAAAGGTGTGTGTGTGTGTGTGTGTGTGTGTGTGTGTGTGTGTGTGTGTGTG